TATATGCGAGCTTATAACCCGTATGTAGATTTGTCAGCATCGCACAAATATTGAATAATCGATTAACTATTTATTCAATGTATTTATTTACCCACTAATTTATTTTAACTTTTCGTTGAACATGTGCAAATTTATTTATTGATTTTTTTATTTTGAATTAATTATGGAAACTGACAGAAAAAAAAATCATTTTTCATTTAAAAAAAAAAAAAAAAAAAAAAAAAAAATTGAACTACTTTCGTGAAACGGCCAGTAAAATTCGTGTTTTTCTGAAATGTCAAAATCTATCTATCTATTTAAGTGGAAATTAACTTTAATTTAATTTTGTATTTAATTCTCATTTAAATAATTTTCAGTTTCAATAAACTATTTATTTAAGTGAGTAAAAAGCACGATTGAGAGAATACAAAGGTTGCGCCGATCTCGGACCGCTATTCCTCTCTTAACGAGTTTGACAGAATCGTTGTTTGCATGACGTCACACTTGTGCAACTTGTTTACGTTTTCCTTGCAACATTTTTTCTTCTTCTTCCATTCTTGCTCACGTTTTGGTATTTCTCTCTCGCAATTGCACCAGTGTGACGTCACCCAAAAGTTATTCTCAAAAATCCTCTCTGATCGGCGCAATCTTGTATTCTATCATTCTTGAGTAAAAAGTGGCTGTGAAACAGACTAGCCCAGCGAAAGCTTTCATTTGTACTGAGAGCTTTTGAAAGCTTTGGCACGCTGTGTTGTAAAAGCAGGGCTGTAACACCTCTGAGTGTGGTTATTCTGATTTAATTTTTATTTAAGTGAAGAGCATAGGTCACTTAAATCAAAATTAAAATTGATTGGGGAAACCAAAAATTCGAAAATTAAAGTAATTTTCACTTAAAAAATTTGGTGAAACTGGCTGTTAGGAAATACATTTTTATTATATGCATGCAGTCATGATAAAAACATAACAAGGTAATACCATTGAGAGGCAGTCTAACGTTTGCCAACACAATAATTTTAAAATTCAAAATTCAAACTCACTACACATTCTCATTTTCAATCTCAAACGACAATAATTGTGAACAATTTAATTTTTTTATTTTAAATTTTATATGATTTTAAAATGTTGGCTAACGTCAGAAAAAAAATCATGGCCGACGAATTGAGAGAATGAATTTACTTTGCAACGTTTTAATCATGCATACAGTTATAGCAGCACCACGCGCGCGTTGATATGCCAATAAAAAAAAGTAAGTTTTTAGAGCTTTGGAATTGAAGAGTTTTTTAATAACCTTACTTCTAAC